ATGTACGAAAGGGATTTACAATTGTAATATTAATAAGTGACAGAAACACTTTGTGTTCAACCTTGTATTTGCATTCGATATAAATGGCTCTAGTTAATATTCGAAATTATCAGTTCGTGATTTGAACTTGATATTTTAATAGTAGACAGTAATTTATCAAATAGAAGACAAGAATTTGTACGTAACTGGCACTTTTAATAAAGCACAGTTGTGTAAAAAAAAAAAAAAAAAAAAAAAAAAGCTATTGATTGCATTGGCAATAATTTTAGGCAATTATTTAAGGATCCAATTATATGTATTTATTCGATTATTTATAGAATGAAACATGGTAAAATTGTATGTAAAATTAATAAAATATTTTACACGCATAAGAATCCTTTTTGCACTTAAAGTCCGTTTAAAAATTAAAAATAGACGAATAAAACGTCGTTACGAAATTTCGTATTTTCAGCATTCGTATCGAACACTTTTAACAATGACAACAAAACGTACATTTTTGACAATCGATTTCAATAAAATTATTTACTATTTCAATAATTTGAGCGATAATATATTAAATAGACGTACACCTAAGCCTTCGCTTAATTAAAAATTATCCTAACGACTATCACTATGACATTCGCATAAAAATGCAAAGCATAATTTAATCATAAATGAATCCTTGTTGAAAAATTTTGTCCAACGATTTTTTAACGTAATCTTATTTATTTACGACCTTCTATCGAGTTGAGTTTCAAGTCTTCCGCGATTTATGCAACAGTGATTCAGTCGTCGAAAATAGAAGAGTGAGAAATAGAGAAGCGTAGGCGAAAATTTTTTTTTAGACATTCAGAATTCAAGTTTCTTTTTTTTTTTTGTTTTTGACTTCAATGTGAGAATGTGTATACCTCCAATAATCGTTAAGAAATGATATAATGAAGTCGTTACCTCCAATAAAATTGATAATATTGTCGTGTACAGATGCAAAAAAAAAACTTTCTTTGCACTTCATATAAGGCATAAAGAAGATAATAAATTTAAATATCTTAAATTCTCTCTGTCTGTTTAAAACTTGTACACTGAATTTCTAAATGTCAATTTAACGATATTTTTATTATGGAAATATATATTTACAAAATGAGTTTCAATTTAAAATGATGAGATGAAATGGTGAGAAAAAAAGTGGCGGTAGGTGTGTGGGGGGGGGGGGGGGGGGGGGGGGGGGGGGGGGGGGGGGGAAGAATATTATACAACCATAATGAATATCTAGTAGACGATTAAACTTAGAAATTTGTGTTTTATTACAAAGTAAGCAAATAGCTAATTGGCGAGGGTATTTGAAATGTAGACATAGACATCTATTAAGAATGTGTACTTAGTCAACTTTCATAAAACTGCTTTTCTTTTAAAAACCAGTAAAAGCAGCGAGCAATATTTTATAATTTTCAGTTCCCGAATACATGGAAAGTATTGTTGACGTAATATAATTTGTCGAATATTTACAAGTGGAGTTTCCTATGTAGATTCCGGTAATTATATATGGGGCAAATTTGATAAATTTTATCATTTGGCTTTTGTTGAATTAACGATCGAGTAATAACTCATTAAAGCATTTAATAACAATTTAATTATCACTTACATAAAACTTACTCCATAATATTTATAGACAAATTAACTTTTGAACGGATATGTAAATTGAAATTACGAATAATTTAAGCAATAGGAACAAAATACTACGCTGCAATAATGTGTTCCGAGTTAAAAAAAGAAATCTAACTAAGCAGTCCATTTAATTTATGTCAAATGCCATGCGAAACATGTCGGCACTGAAGGTTATTGAACGATTGCAACGATGAGCGGAGGTAAGACGAACGTAAATATAAATTTTATAATTATTCTATGTTGTTATGAAATATCTGTAATATCTTTGACTTTTCCTATCTGTGAACAAAAAAGTACTATCCATACGCCATTAACTGTTTTGAAAACGATTTTATGCTGTTAATGAGTATCTATTTTATTTACATATAGGTTGAACGATTGAAAATTTGTCTGCTGCCTTAAAGCTGATAATGTTTCTTGTTTATCTTTTCAATTACGCGACAGACGACGGGTAAGCATATTCAAATGTCTTTCCGAAGCTAGAATATTGTCTCTCAGGACAGACGGCTAGTTGCATTGCATTCATTCCTTATTTATTTACTTATTATGGTAATCATTTTAACAATAGATCATGACTGTCACGTATGTATTGTATATATATATATATATATATATATATATCGGTATGTGAATGTATGCATATTTTAAGAGATTTTAAATTATTGCATAGAAGACGGTACAAATTTTAGAATCTTTGCCAAATTATATTATAGAGGTGTAATAGTCTTCTATTTTTTTTTATTTTTTTTTTTATTTTTTTTTGTCATTGGTACGAATTTTTTGTTATAAGATATTTATAAATATATGTATAAAATTGCAAAATTCTTAAGTCTTAAATTCATTATTAATTAAAGAAGTTATATTCGTCAATACGTAATGTAGACATGTAATTTCTTATGTAATTAAATTACAATATCTTCTACTTTACTTATAACTTATATATATTTTTTATTATTCATGTGAAGTCAATTAAAATTATAGATTCGTTATAACTTTACATACGACAATAAAAATTGACATTTAAATTTTTGTCAAACATACTATCTCAGCTCATATTTTAATGACATTTATATAAGTACAACGTTCAAAATTATTTTTCTGTAAATGACACTTCATTTAAGTTCAAATATACATTCAAATATACAAATATAATTTCACATTATACATTCAAATATAATTTATTTGTCATTATTGTCGAAAATCTACGTAGTATCGATTTAATAATAATTTTTCAAGGAATATGTTATTATTTTTAGATATTTGATATCCTTACTTTATTAATATACAAATAAAAAATCTATTTTGATTTATGCGATTATTTATATTTCTATACATATGTATATATACATATATATAAAGTGCGTAAGAACTTTATTATTACAAATTATTTACAAAAATTTTATATCAACAATTTGTCTTTAATTCAAACAATTAATATAAAGATTTATGACATTACATCGATAAAAGTAAGACGATACTTTAAGCTATAAATTATAAAAAATAAAGAATAAAAAAAAATTGGAGCTCTGCGTTCATAAAGATTTTTCAAACATTCATCGCATAAATATATTTAAAGAGACGTTTAATTTCATTTCTCTTTCAATTCCCAATATAATAATGTTACGCGCTTATTCCGTATCATTTTAATAGAGTCGAGTGAATATAGAAAACAGTCGTTTAAGATAGTATTATATATCATTTGCTATACAATAGTAAATCATGATAACGTTTCGTCGGAATGACAACAATACAAGTACTTCAATATTTTAATGAGACATTGTAGCAACACCAGGATCACTCGTATCCAAAGATACGACGAATAGTAGTGGGACAATTTCCGCCGCGACAAAAAATATATTTCATATGAAAATAGTGTATATTATAAATATATATATATATATATATATATATATAGTGCACGGTTATAGAAATTGTTTCTCCTTATCGGAGCAGACGTCCAGGTGTCCCATTGAGCAACAGACTTCCACGTATTTCCATATAATTAGAGAAGTCGTATATACAGGTGGCGTAAGAAATAGTTAAATGGCTAAGCATATTAACATGAAAAAAAAAATAAATAAATAAAATAAAAATATTAGCTTTCGACTTAAAAGAACATTAGCGAAAAGCCATCGTTCGGCAATTTCACGATCCTCTCCGTGCACGCATCAACAAGCAGCGCGTGAAGAATCTTTAACGACGTGGGCGATCGTTCACCAGGAAGCTGCGCTAGGCTGACGCATCCGGGCTAATATTCGTATCTCGTCGACCCCGACGTAGATGCCAACGTGAACGGGTCCATTCCGCGCGCATACGACAGCAGCTCCTCTCTCTCTCTCTCTCTCTCTCTCACGTGTGCGCGCGCGGTCTCCCGAAATTCCAGAGCACAAGAGAGAAGCAGAGATACGCGGATAGACGGATAGATGGATGGATAGATAGATAGATAGATAGATAGATAGATAGATAGCGAGAGGGAAAGATAGAGACAGAGAGAAGAGAGTGAGTGAGTGGGCAGACCCCCTCCCTTTGTTACTTCACGCATCTCGCTCACCTGCCAACTAATAGCGCGCGATTTTCCTTCCTCTGCTTCCTCGGTCGCCCACAATCTCTTCGTCTCCTCTAGTGCTGGTCATGGCGGGGGATTTACGCGACCTCAGCGCCACCTGTGACTCCCTTCTCTCCGCCCCTCCCCGACTACCAAACACTCGCACGCACTAACACAAGGCCGTGGCGCACTCACACGCATAGCACGATGCTCAGCCTCGCGCTCCTGCGCCGTCGTCCGTGATCTCACCGCCCGGGTTCTCAATCCTCCCAGCGCCGCTTCCTCAGTCCTCTCGCTCGGCTCGGCCCGGCTAGTCGTTCGTATGTGCGCGCGCGCCTTGTCTTGTTCGCTGCCGCTCGTTTGCTCGCTCGTTCGTTCGTTCGTTCGATCGTTCGTTCGTTCGTTCGTTCGTTCGTTCGTTCGTTCCTTCCTTCCTTCCTTCCTTCCTTCCTTCCTTCCTTCCTCCCTTCCTTCCTTCCTTTCTTCCTTCCTTCCTTTCTTCCTTCCGACTTTTCTTTTTACAAACTTGCCTTCATCCCTAGTACTCCTCAACACATCTTCATCGTCTGGACCCTGTTAATCGGCCGCTATCCGTCGCCCCGTAGAGACCATCCACTGTGATCGAGGAAACGGAGAGACGAAGAGAACGACTCGCTTTTATGCGCGTCCACGGTGCCGCTGGACCGGGTCGCTCGACCCCCCGAGGGCCGTCGACAACGAACCGCAGCGAATGAGCCCAGTAGTGCGGAGGGGACTATTAGCGACGGAGCTGCGGCGACGGGAAGAGAGCAGCGACAGCAGCAGTCGCCGACATCGCCACCGCCATCGCCACCACCACTGTCCGCATACGGAGAGGAGCTGCTGGTGGAGCGACGGAGACGAAGATAGAGAGCGCGCGTGAAGCACTGCCAAGGAAAATGGCTGCGCGCCTAGCTGGACGGCGACCGGCCGTCCTCGGGGCCAGCCAACGAAGTCTGGCTGGGCTCTGGTTCGGCCTGGGGATCCTCGTCGCGAGGAGTCTCGCCGGTAAGCACTGCGTCCATTATCAAGGAGCCCTGCTAGAGCGCGCGTACATATCCTAACCTCCGTTGGTGCGCGTCCGCCTTTCTCTCTCTATCTCTCTCTCTCTCTCTCTCTCTCTCTCTCTCTCACTCTCTCCTCGCTTTTTATCAGCGCGACGCTCGTTCACCCCTTCCCTCGTTCCCGCACTCCTGCTGTCGGCCGTCAGCCTCGTCGTCCCGGAGAAAGCCAGCCTTTAAAATCCATCGGCTCCCCGCACCGGGGAGAGCCTCTTTCTTTCCCTCTCTTGACTCCAGCCCGATACCCAGCCTCGACCGATGGCAAATTATTACCAAGTGTTTTGTCAAAACAATTGTCGCAAACAAGCGTGGCGCACTCCACGTCCGATGTTCATCGTTACGTACACTGTTGCACCGTTGACAAGGCGCTTTTTCTCAATTCAGCGCAATGAACGCGCTCGCTTTCAAAACATACGAGAGGCATTTTTGTCGTAAGCTCGCTCTTTACGACAACATTCGTCCCCCGAAGCCGTGCATTCTAACCTAAAATTCATCTCCCCTCAATGACGGAGCGCCCGTCTCATGTGCTCGTTGGCTTGCTTTTATTTTTATTTTCGCAGAAACGCCGCTAGCGATAAACGCACACTCTATTATGAAAACGGCACACACGTGTTACAATGGCTACTAAATTGAGATGCGTTCTTGGCCAATTTATTAAGCACGTTATTAACGGTACTCGCAGCATCGTAGCGTCGCGCTTTATATTTGGTTATGAATGCGCTTTGACGACTGTGATATTGTCCAAAAATAAATTAAAATGCCAACCCGTTAATTCGACGTCGTTATAAACTTAATGCATCGCATTGGATTATATGGATCGATCGATAGATTATTGCTTCTCGTATCGTTAGGAACAGGAACGTTAATAACAACCGTCGAGTTTTATGAAAGGCGATTTCAGCATTTATGCCCATGAATAAATTGACGGAACCGAGCACCAGCCAAGCTCAAAGTAACGAGGAATTATTTTACTCCTCTCTCCGCGACAAGTTTGATAAAAAACAAAAATTAATAAATAACTAAAACATATAATATAATAATTGGCCATCGTATTAGAATCTATTAGTGATATTCTCAGAATTATCATTATTAGATATGTCACGGAGGAGAAAAGAAAAACATGCTTGGTATTCTCAAACGTTTAGAGTTTCATTCGCAAATATTTTTAGACCGTACTTTCGTACCTACGTATACATTCACTGGCAGTCGAAATTCATTTTCACCACCGACCGACAGCTTCTCAACTTTCCATTCCGTAGTTTTTATTCATTGGCTTGTATAGGCCGAGTGAATCGGATTTCATTACAAATCATATATCGTCAGTCAAAATAAGTCAGCGTGTTATTATTGTAATGTATATGTTTTTAGGTTTCGCCCTTCTCGCAAATTATTCACGCGCGTATTTGTAAATTCGATGGCGTTCCGCATTACTGCAACTCGATTTGTTTGGGCGCGCGGAATTTTCATTAATAAATCCGAGCGACAATGTATTGGCGCGGCGACTTGAGTTACTTCAATATATCCAGTTGCTAGTTGAACTTTATAAATAATTGGACGAGTCGTAAAAATATTTATCACGCTTAGATGGATTCGAGCTAATACCCCGTTTCAAATCTTCAATGCTCACGAAAATTAGTTTTACTTTGACGTCATCGTTTGAACGGATATGATATAGTGATGTCATGATTTAAAGTTTTTCAAACTTCTCTGATATCTTTATCGGTTTTATTGCCATTAAAACGAAAAATAAAAGAAAAAACCAACAATAAAACAACAACGACAAACAAACAAAACAAAACAAACAAACAAACAAACAAACAAAAATTTAACAAAACAAAAAAAATCAAGACGTCAGTAAAGTTAAAAATTTAAAACACATCTCGAACAAGCGAATCAAGAGCCTTTAATTCTAAGAACACAAAAAAATATTTCCAAGTACATAATTTGGCCAATGACGTTGTAAAATTTAAGTGATTCGAATATGTCTCTATTGGCTTTACTGTTGTATCTTAATGTTTAAAAAAAAAAATCCTTTTATGATTATAAGGCTAATTAAATACAAGGTTTATTAGAATTTTATTGGAACTATCATATTATATAATATATTTTAATGAGAAAAATTGGCTCGTATATTAATGCCACTACTACATGCTTCATAAAATGGTTGGTTTTTATTACCTACTTGGAACATTCTCTTACAGCACAAAAAAAAAAAACAAAAAAAAAAACAAAAAAAAAAATCAATAACAAAAAAGAAATAAGTGAAAAAGCTAATGTATAGATTACTTTTCAGTCAAATTTATAAAAATACCTGTATGCTATTCAAGTTTTTTCAACAAAATTGTCCTGCTTACGAATATTCATAAATAACAATTTTAAAGTCATACTTCGTAGAATCGTATAGTACCAAGAGAGAATAAATAGTCTTTTCTTCACGAGTACCCGAGCACAGTCGTCTCGCAGAACCTCCACCAGATATAGCGATTGTGGTGGAAGAAAGCCTCGACAATTTCTTCAAAAATGCTTTCATCTTGAAAATGCTTTCAAGTACCCACATTCGCCACGATGGCATTCCTCGGTTATACCAGTAAGATATCGATTGCGCTCAGATATATCCCTGCTCTCCCGGTTCCCGACCAAGTGATTGACGACGATTTGGGCGTGAATCCCCGGAGCCGGATAACACCCACAGTGCCGGGGAATACACGTGACAAGGAAAACCGAGCCCTGATTTTACATGGACACAGGAAATGCGTGCCGCCTGCCTCCGTCGCGTGTGTTCTTCGTTGGAATGTGCCCCTGCAGATGCGCATCACCACGCTCTCTGATAATTATTCATCTAAGAAATCATCCGACCCAAGGATACTTACTTCTCCCAGATGAATCCAATATTGCAATAAATTTCAGTCGCTCGTCGTGGGGTAAAAAGTGACCTCGTCTACGCATTGTAAATCTACGCGTTGTTTTTGTTTTGTTTTTTTTTGTTTTTTGTTTTTGTTTTTTGTTTTTGTTTTTTTTTGTTTTTTTTTTTTGTTTTTTTTTTTGTTTTTTTTTTATGTTTTTATTCCCATCTATGTGCCGCCGCTTCCCATGCGAAATGTGTCCAAGCATTTAGTCCCGATGCAGATGTTACTCACATTTGTGTATTACAATATTTCACATCGATCTTTATCATCATCCTCGGTTATTAAACGGTTATTGTCGCCTTCGCTCGACAATGTAGTCGACTTGCTTTTCGCTCATAAATGGCGAATAGCTTTTATGCGCTAATATGTCTATTAAGAAACATCGTTATTTTTTAACGCTACTCTTTAACCGGCCAAAGCAACCAATTCTCGTTCTCAAATAGCTACATTCGGCGCAAATGGCAGTAGATCTTTTTAAATTTCTATTGGATTGATGATTATTCTCTAAATAACGACTCTTATTTTAGGCGGACGAAATAAATCGTTTAATCTAAATTCCAAAAAGACTCGTGTGATTCCCAACCGTTGCCCCGAATGTATATTCGATCTATCTTAATTATCATCGTTCCTCGTTTTATTTAACTTCCTTCGTATTAAGGATCTTAAGAGTATTTACAAATGTTCTTAAATGGCTTACTGCTTTATTACCCTATTTCATTATTTCATTATTTCCTTAAATAAGTTATATCCATGAGCGCGCAAAGTATTGTAATGTCGATCATTAATCGATAAAATTAATCGAAAACCCATTGGTTTTCATCGTCTACGATTTCATCATTTGCTCGGCCGATTTCTATAATAATTAATTGAAAGAAGATAAAAAATCACGATGAAATAACTCTGAATGATTTTTTTTTTCTTTTTTTTTTTTTTTTCTTTTTCTTATATTCGTCGCCCCTCTCGTAAAGGATGCATTTTTGTCTTCCGGTGGCAGCCGTCGCGATAAGATCACGTCGTTGAAAATAAGGTGCAGCAGCAACAGATCGGCTGCTCTGTATTTCTTTGCCATTCCTTCTATTATTCTCTCTTCATTTTTTTCTTCTATCTGTTTTTTCATGTACGCGCGTCCCTGTCCGTATGTGTGCGGGTGGGTGTGGGTGCGCGCTCACGTATGTCACTATAGTGAGCAACTGTCGGAAGCCGCTCGCATAAGTAGCGAGTGTCTCCGCGCAGATGCTGCGATTAGACTCTCTCGAGCTCACTGACTTAGCCGTGACTGACGACGACTCCCTTTTGCTCATCTTATATTTCAAACCTTTTTATGGCCTGTGCCATACGTAAAGGTATTTCGTTTATTCTTGGCTATGCTCGGTACAACGTCAAAAACTATTGGGCTCGCGTCGGCTCGTGAAACGCCTACTAATAAAGCAGTTGTGATAATATAGCCTTCGATGTAAATTTTATTGGAGCTTTAAGGAACGAGCACAGGGATACGCACTTTCGCTTTCTCAATATAATTCCTACATACATTAGAAATGATCTAGCACATAATCTGATAGAAAAATGAAACTAAACGAGCCACGTACAGCCGACGATCAATAATGGCTCTTACACGCAATACTCGTAACGAGGCATTTTTATTTTAATGGGAGAATTTCACCGATACGGCCAAGTACAACTTTAAATGGATAATAAATACATTCACAGCAAATGCCTTATAAGAAAATGATTCACAATTAATAAGAAACTTCCTTATTTACATTTAGTTCTATTGAAAATTTGCATTACTCTCAAACATTTTATGTTACTAATTTTTTTTTTTTTTTTTTTTTTTTTTTTTTTTTTTTTTTTTTATTATTTTTTATTATTATATCGATTTATTTATTTATTTATTCATTGTTATGACTTATTTTATTTTTGACGAAGAATCAGTAGATGATTTAGCTACTTGCGATAACTTTAGCATCGGTTTTAATCGTAATGCACACCAAAGGGAATTTGGAGCAGTCGTTCAAAACAAACTCGTCTCGTGATTTTTCTC